TCTAAAGCGAAACGAATATATGTGTTGACTCAGGAAGACCCAAAACGTTTGCATATTCCCAAGGCAAAGCGAATAGCGATGTTGAAACATGGCGCGGAGGAATTGCTTGCCGCAAAGCGACGATTGGAACAGGCTCGAAGACGATCGCATCTCATTGTGCAATTTGTTCGGGCCACATTCGACTACGATGAAGCGAAGAGAGATGCTGCTCGTCACCGCGTCCTTGTGCAATGGGTTCTGGATCAGGTTCGCCTGGTTGAGGGTGAGATCAGCTCGTCAGAAGCAAATAGGTCCGGGTCTGATGGAAAGAGGACAACGAAGAAGAGGCGAACTACCGACGAAGAGTCCCCAGAGAGACAAAGCCCGAAAAAGGTGAGATTTAACGTTCGAGGACCGAGAGTGGCAAACGAAAGGGCCCCGTCAAATGCCACAAAAACGCAGGCAGAACTCGAGCATCCTGTCGCTGGTGGTTTGCACCTGAACAATGTTCAGACAAGTCCTGAAGGACTTCGTCGCAGCGCACGTATTGCGGCGTGCCGAAACGCTTCCACGACAACCTTTGAGTCCGACACTTCCCCACCAATATTACGCTCAAGGTTGGGAGAAACGCCTGCACCGTCGCCGAAGCCTCATCCGCCGATTGAGGATACGAAAGCTCACACGGTGAGGAGACAATCGCGTTGCAGCAGTCAATGTGGTATGGGTAAACCCTCACGGAAGTTGCGGGGACGTCGGCAGCGAAGACATGGCTGATGAGGGATGGGTTCCGGTCAGGTTTCGTCGTCACTCTCGGGCGGATGTTGTTGGCGAAATTTCCAAGACGACGATATTGGACGAATTCCGCGACTCCTAATTGAGGGCCCGACGCCGTCTGGCCTTGAACTGGCTGGCAATCAGTCAACAAAAGTGGGATGCACCACGGACAGTGGAGCGCGGAAACGCTTGATTGGTAGACGAATTTAGCGTGCCCCAGCGACGCGTTGGAGTCATATCCCCGGATTTAATGCAACAACTCCCAAAATAGGTCCGTTGGCGTGCATGCAGATTAGTGGTACAGATTCCTCCAGTTCCGATATGATTAATAATGCCGCTCCTATCCGTAACCTTAGTTGTAGGATTAGATCAATATGCAAAACCAAAGGGTCGCGTGAAAGTAAAGTGGCCATTGTGGAGATGTGCTATGTCCGAGCGCGCAAACCAGTACAGGATAGCAGCCGGCCAAGACTGATCCTCATGCCTACGCCAGACCGCTTGATAAGCTATTTGGCTTCTCTTCTCCAGGCTTCCAAAGATTCAGCACTTAAGTCTAGATGCTTCGTCTCTTGATTCAAAAAGTCTCTCTCTACTTATTGCTTGCACTTCAGACCATTTAAAACCTGCGTGAAGTGACCCCAAAACGAGGAATCCCCGCGCTATGATCAGAGAAATGGCAGCGCTAAAGTCACGCAGAAACTAACTTCGGTCTCCATGTTGATTCTCAAAAAGTCAGATCTGTCACCAATGGTTGCTTTTTGTCAGTTCAGTTGAGTGTATCTGTACTTGACACGTGCTTCTCGAACCCTCTGTAATCATGTCGCTATTGTGACAGGGTAGAGCACAGAAGCAGACAGTTCGAGGTTACGCGAAGGGTTAAACCGCTGACCCGTGTACCTTTGTAAACAGGTGGGTCGGTGCGCGACGGCGTGAATGAAGCCCACATCATCTACCCCGCAGCCCTGTAACCAACCCCTTCACGCACTCAAACACCCATACACCTACTGTTTTCGTTGCCAGAAACAGCTTTTGTTAACCAGAGTTTCATTCTAGCGGCCAAATCACGAACGACTTGCCATTCAGACGAACAAAACAGCCCGAGCCTCCCCCGATACAGCGGTTCTTTGTGGGATCATTTATTACCCTTCTGGACAGGGAGGACTTTCGCCATTCACCTAACGCCTAAGCCTCCGAAATGACCATAGCGCCGCGATACGAGATCGAACACCATATTACCAGCACCCGGAACGATGATTATGATGCACGCTTCACGGTCCGCCGAAACGGCAAGGCCTTTTACATCAAGATCTCGCCATCCCAGTTTGTCAACTCCCCCATGATGACGGATAAGTACCTATCGTATCTGGAGGTACTCCGATCAGGCGAAGAGGTCCTTGGTAACATCTACGACACCGACGTCTACGAATGGGTCATGGGCCCATTTGGGCCACTCTTCGCCGAGCTCGCGCCCGACCCATCATGCCTCCCAAAGGATGTCAGGATCACTCTGCACGATCATCTTTTCCCAGAGTTTTTCGTCTTTGCCCTAGATATTGTTGATGAAAAGCTATATCCGCGCCGTATCGAAGCAGAACAATCCCCTCATCGGCCGTCATTCGTCCGCTTTGATGACGATTTCCTCGACGATCTGGAGACATGGACAGCCTTCTACGATCCCGCCGGAATCATCTTGAGCTTCAAATATCCCGAGGACGCGCTCTTCAAGCCGCCCAACAAGGTTCTTATCGATAACTGCCAGACTGAATGCTTTTTTAAGCCGTGCAACTCTGGCGTTCAGATTAAACAGGAGCTCAAAGCCTATAAGATGATTCACGCCGCCGGCTTGGATTCTCAGCTGCACCTATGTCATCTCTACGGCGTTGTTATGGATGACTCTGACTTTATTCTTGGCCTTTTGTTAACTTACATTGATAATGGAGATTGTCCGCTGTCTACAAGAATCCACCCTGACGATCCCGATGACCCTCCGGCTGCGATCAGAGAACGATGGGTAGGCCAGCTTGATGCTACCCTCTCAGGGCTGCACAAGGCCGGCATAGTCTGGGGAGATGTCAAGGCAGAAAACGTTTTGGTAGACCGGGATAACAATGTGTGGATTTCGGATTTTGGCGGTGGCTATACTGAGGGTTGGGTCGATAAAGAAATAGCAGGAACTGTGGAAGGCGATCGGGTGGGTATGGCTAAGCTGAAGAAATTCATCTTTTCTAGTAAATGAAGCACAGGAGTAAAGTTTCAAGCAAGAGGGGCTCGGCACAAGCAGAACTTGAAAACTCTAGCTATCAGAATAGCCCCAAAGTTGCCCCAAGCATATCTTTGTTCCGGTGCCTATTTCGTAGAAGATGGATGTTGGGTAAGTGGACGTCCTGCTGTAGCCTGATCATAATGGGTGGGCCCTATGCAAGATTGAAGCAGTACGTCGCCTAAGAATAGTCATACAAAGCACCGTTACTAAAGCAACTAATGAGACGTGAGTGTGTATTTTTTTTTTGACGCTGGTTTTATCGACGCGCTGGTGGGAGCGGCCACCTACTGGGGTTAATATGTGCGCTCCCATAGGCCGTTCCGTTGACATAAGCGCTGACGGTTTGGATTTAACGTGCATGATAAGCGAGTGCTCCAGACAAGCGAGTGCTCCAAAAATCCCTCAACCTACACTATCACTTTTCAATCAGATATTTCTCAACAATCCAATATGCCAGAGTCTCCAAATGAAGCTAAGATTATTCTTGCCCTTCAGGCCCTCCAGAATGACCCAAAATTAAGTCTTAGAAAGGCCGCAGCTATATATCATGTTGACCGCTTTGCCTTAA